ACTGTCATCTGATGAGCTTTTCACTGTGAAAGTTCCTAGCTACATTGACCATTGCATACGATTAGTCAATTAGGTTTCTGAGGCTTCCATGTAGATATTCAGTAAATCTGCTCTTACAATTTTTACGGTTGGGAATATCTGAAAAAATAAAAATAAAAGCTTTTCTCCAGCCTTGACCGTTTCTCACACTCATTCTGAACAATTTTTGTGAGAGAAAGCTAATATGACAGCTAGGTGATCTCAAGCATTTAATATTCATCATAGTTTTAATTAGCTGTGATGGTCTTGGGGCTCTTCTGTTTAGAGCTTTACTTTGTACAATCAAGATCAACTATGTAGTGAAAAGATCTAATTATGTATAAATTACACTTCACTGGCAAAAGAAAAAAAAAATACTGAAGTAGAGAGAAAAAAGACATCAATACTGAATTCTAACTAGAATTTATTGGTAACTTTGGTCAGGAACGTAGTTACAAGCCTGGTAATGCTTACAAGCTTCAGCCAGAAGGGTTGATGGTCATCGGAGAAAGAGCGGAATATTAGGATTAAATAGATATTACCATCGTTAAAAATCCTTTCTCTAAGTCTCTTGCATGTCCTTGTCCCTACTGCTTCTGGTCTTCTAAGTGTTGCCCAATATGCCTAATGCAATGCTGTCATGGTACGGGGATATGAATTCTAGTTATGCGAATTTGAGCAAGTTCGAATCATATTTAGTTCAAGAGTGATCTAGACTAACCAAGATAAGAACTAGTGAGTTGTCACTTAGTTTAGACTTCAAATCAGTCACTTCCTTTTCACACACTTTCTTAATCTTGGAGGGTTTGAGAGTGCTATTCCTTTGTCGCCAGAGTACAACTGCAAGACTAATAAGATAACAATTCATCAAATATTGAAGCTTTTCTCTCACTCATCATAGTCCATAAAATATGCCATATAAATCTTTGTTATAAAAAATATAGTTGCTTGTCTTTTCTCCGTTTCACTTTTGACTGTCTTGCTGCCAAAACTATGAACATTGTTGTAACAGAAGAGGAAACGTCGCAGCATAATGAGAGGCATGGTTATGATAATATGGCTTCAAAATGAGGTTTAGTTGAAGAAAGGGGATGTCTGCATATTTGACAAATGAGAAAACAATAGTTCACTCATTCAATGGTATCAAACTAGTCCTCTTTTCTTGGCAAAATTAACTCCTTGGCCAAGAAAAACCTAATCCTTTGTTTCTGTGGAAATGCTATTATGAAAAACTTCTGCTAACCATAAATCTTCTTAGGCTCGCCAAATCTAAGCATCTAAAAGGAAACAGAAAAAGTATTGAGTTCATTCCTTAAATTGATAAATGCACAGATTTGCTAGCCGATCACGACTTGAATTCTAGAGTGGAAAGCCCTTTGCATCCTTCAAAGTAATAAGGTTCCAGATGGAAAAATATCAAAAAATAAAAATAAAAATAAAGGTAATATGCACAGATTCTAAAAGAGAAAAAGTACGGCTTTAATTTGTCTCTGGTATGAAAAAGTCCTCTGACACTAGTTTAATGCTCGAAACCATGAAACCAATTCTTGGATATCTTGCCATTTGAAAAGTCATATAAGACTGAAAACTGCAATTAAAGCAGCATAAATGTCAGTGAACGGATATCTTCTCAAACAAATACCCTATACCTGGAAACGCTATGGACATGCGTATTGTTGGCGCATGTGGTTAAATCTGGAATAAAACAGATAAATCTGTTAGGAAGTTGAAGTGCTGTATTTTAAAATTTTTCCAAGTTGAGCTGCTGTGCGTTTATGATATTATTGGATCGAGTTCAGACCCTTTATCCAGAGCAGATTGAGAGAGATAAAGTGAAATGATATTATTGGTAGAATTGAAAGTATGGATTTCTGTACAATTTGGTTAAGAGTAACCTGATTATGGACATTTCTATACAGATGATGCCAAAAAATAATTGATCATGGTAGTGGATGGTCAAAAGTACATATGAACTGTTATTTTTTGTACAACGCTGTCATTGCAATTACGTGCCTGGAAATTCTATTGATTTTAGCATCATAGAGCTACATTCCATCTGGTTGCATTAACGGACACAGTAAAACATGCTGAACAAGGTTCAATATTATCTAGGCTTTCTTCCCTTCGGACTTTTTGATTTGCTACTCTTACTTTTACCCTTCAAAATTTTCTGTATTTGTTTCTGATTGCCATCTCTTTTTTCCAGATGATTTTCATTGTCATGGAGGAGTTCCATCAAAGATGATTCCCTTGACGCTTCATACTCTCTTGAGGTTTGTTCTTGTATCTTTCTCATAATGACTTCCAGATATTTTGAAGAAAAACAAAAAAGAGATTGGATGCACAAGCTGAAATGAGGATTAATTCCAAAAAAAAGTGAAATATCACAACTGAACACCTGAATATAAACTTTCGGAAGAGGTATGAGAACTGCAAGAAAATCAACGGCACAAGTCATTTTGTAGCAATATTCTTCTTCATTTTTGCATCGACCCTGCAGATCTGAAAATTAAAAAGTTGGTGATCAGACTTCAAGATTTGTAAAAGAAGTTAAATTGTATCTAAAAGATGACAACAATCCAGACCTTCTCATCTAATGACCCCTCTAGTTTCCCGAATACTGCTTTAATAAAAGAGTTAGACGAGGAACTTGCTTTTGAATTGTTTTCATCATTTTTATCAGAATGGTTTATACTATCATTCCTGTTTCTAGATGCTATGCAAGCTTCGGCATTTGTAAGGATATCAGAAATAACACTGATGGGACAATCAATCCCCCTTTCAGCTTCTCTTTCAGCAAGCTATTTTTTCCACTCGGCCATAATAACCTCCACAGGGTTCCCCTTTTCCATCGATTCCTTCTCACAGTTTTCCTTCAGACATTCAATACGCACCTGATAAGTAAGGAGCTCCCGTTTATCAGTGCGTGTAGAAGTTAAGTCTTTAATTTCCTTCTTGAGTTTTTGAAGGATTTTGCCACCCTGCTCGCTACTTTTTGCTTCCTGTTTGGTCCAATCAATATTTTTCCACAACTTTTTTCCATATAACCAAAAAAGCATGGAGTTTACATCAGGGAGGCACTTCGTTTCATTACCAGGAGATGCATCTTCACTGCTCGATAATATCTTCAGATCCAAATCAATATGTGGCAAACTATCATAAAAAAGGGCCCTGATTCTCACATAACTCTCTGGACTATTGGGAATTACTTCACTATAAGGGTCATGTGGCTCAGCAAATTTTCCTGTCTTACAAGCTTCCCTGAGTCTTTGCAAGAACTTGCAGACCTTCTGGAGCTAGAAAGAATTCGAGACTCGAATACAATCCACTGACTGGTCATTGACTCTACTTTTTAGTAGCACCCCTGCAGATGAAAGGGCTTGGACTTCTTTCATGGTATACCCTAGAACCCTATCAAGATGGTTTTTTAATGAAGTAATTGTGCTTGATGTGCATTCTAAAATGGTCACAGATTCTCCAGAGAAGACTTCTCTCTGGATCATCAGACGAAGGCAATATGTCGCTGTCCACTGTCGTGGCTTGTACATCCATGGGCTCCCATATGCCATTGACAATCTTATCAACCCAATAGTGACCGACTTCCTGAAATTTGAAGAACAGAAAGAAAATGAGTTAATAATCTGAAATGAGGAAGAATTCTAAAAAAGAGAAAAAAAGTAAGCTATTGTCAGCACCTGCATATAAGATTTCAAAGGATATGAAAGACCTACAGGATTATGCATGCCACAAGTTCTTTCAAGATCAAGCTGCGACTGCTTAGAGGTAGCAAGATTCTTCCTGATCTTTCCGTCAACTATGTTACTTACAAGCTTGGCAACCCAATTTTGATTGTCTTCAGATAATAATGGCTTCAATACTTCGGAAAGTTTTCCCACATGCTCCATCAGTATATGTTTCATATGTCGTTCAGAATCTAAAAGCAACTCGCCTTGGCAGCAAGGGAAGATCCAATACTTCCACATGTGTTCCTCCCGGACAAACTCTAGAGCCAAGGTTACATCCAAAAACACGCACTTTTGTTTTGGCCATCTCATGAAATCTGTAATATCCACTCGTATGAGATCTTGCCAGTCAGATTCTAAACAAGATCGAATCTGATATGATTGTGCAGATGCCACCAGCTCCTTCTCGCAATATGCAGAAGTAATTGGTCTCTTGAGCATTTTCTGTAGAAACTGGTGTTGGGAATTTAACGCCTAAACCCCTAATGCAACAGAAACGCAGTATAGAAAAAAGTACACCAAGTTTTAACGAGGTTCGGCAACTGCCTACGTCCTCGGGAGCCACACAGATAATTTCTTATTAATCAAACAAGAAATTACAATTATAAGAGCAGATAAAAAATGAGATCTCTCAATTAAACACTGTAGCTACAGTGTTAATAATTAAAGGGTATGAACCCTTTCAATTCTCACTTGAGAATAAATACCCCACAATGCAAAACCCCTTTTCAATTTCCTCTCTTTCTCTCTCTTCTTTAATCTCTTTTAAATCTCCCCTCAAATGAAATTGAGAGCTGGAGATTATCAAAATCGCTACTGCGATTTGGGGAAAACGCTGCTGCGTTTTAGGACTGATCGCCGCCGCCAGAGAGAAACGAAGAAAAAGGGGGGAAGCTTCAGCGACCACGAAAAAACCCTAGGCTGGGGGGGGTTTTATAGGCGGATGGAAGGGCTGGCGACAGCCTGTCGCCAGCGGCTAAACCTGACGCAAAGGTCAGGTTCGAACGCAGAGTTCGGACCCCCCCAAAAACGCAGAGCTCGCCATCCAAACGCAGAGCTCGCCATCGCTCGAACGCAGAGCTGAAAAGGGGGAGGCGAACGCAGAGTTCGAACCGCCAAAACGCCAAGGTCGGAACGACGTTCGCCTAGGGGGGTTCTCCTGTCGACTTCGCCTGCATCATCTCCGAGCTCGTCGGAGCTCCTCGCCGGACGGAGGTGAGTTTGGTCTACACCCAAACTAACAGAAATCACTACCATGAAACTTATCAGGCACCCATACATAACAAGAATGCATGAGGTAAGATAGAGATTTGTAATATGTCTGTAGACATCATCTCGCTTCATTACGGTATCACTATATTTCTATAAATTCCAATTTCTTAATTATGTGGCTCGTTCGTAAATCAGTTCCTTAGCTTCGTTATTGATTATTGGACTTCTACTCTGATGATTCCTGCTAAAATACATCCTTTCTTTTTTGTGTGTTGAATTGTTACTATAGATCAAGCTCTCTTGTGTTACAATTACTATGAGCACCCAAATTTTTTTTTTGGTTGGCGTCATTGACAACCTCCTTAGCTCAAGTGATTGTCGTTGTGTAGGTGATGGCCAGCAAGACAAAGATATACATTGTTCTGGAACTTGTTACGGGTGGAGAACTCTTTGACAAGATTGTAAGATTTTTATCTATCTATTTGCACTTAAATATTTACTATATGCCAGTGTTCATTTACGAGTTTGCTAACTAGTTCTTTGATTGTTGTTCCTTAGGCTAGTCAAGGACGGTTGAAGGAGGATGATGCAAGAAAATATTTTCAGCAGTTAATTAATGCCGTGGATTTTTGTCATAGCAGAGGTGTATTTCACAGGGACTTAAAGGCACGGGAACAGACTCTTTTTGTGCTTTTTGTTATTTTTGGATAATACTTTGTTACAAATTCAACTTGTTTGTGTGTATAACTCTTTTGTATCTCAACAGCCGGAAAACCTACTGTTGGACTCTAGTGGGGTTCTTAAAATCTCGGATTTTGGTTTAAGTGCGTTACCACAGCAAATTCGAGTAAGTCAGATGAATTTGTATATTCAAATACAAATTTATAGATTGCAAGTCAAATTCATTTTTTTACTAATGCTTGCAAATGGCTAATATTTTGATTTGCTTTCATTTAATAAGGGATGTTCGGTGAATTTTCCTCATACTTCTCTTTGATAAATATGGTCATTTTTTAAACCAAAGCCTTAATACTTAGAGGATGGAAAAGAGGCATTTCTGGAGATATAACATTTTAACCTTTTCCTTGCAGGAAGACGGTTTGCTTCACACGACATGTGGGACTCCCAATTATGTCGCTCCTGAGGTACGCTTTAGTGCATCACATAATGTATATTTGTCCTGAATATTAACTACTTTTGTTATTGCCTGCTGGAAGCCTTTGACAACTAGCCGGGCCTTATATCTTCTGGAACCATCTTGCTCCTCTTTCACCCGGTACACCCATTTGTTGTGGAGTGCCTTCTTACCCGTGGGCAACTCAGCTAGTTCCCACGTCTGGTTTGATATGAGAGACTTCATCTCATCTTTCATGGCAAGCTCCCACTTGCTCGCATCTCCACACTGACAAGCTTCATCAAAGCTTTCAGGCTCCCCACCATCTGTCAACAACAGATAGTTCATGTATCTCCTGTTGGGTACAGGAGGACGAGAAGATCTTCTTAATATCGGAGCTGGTGCGTCGGGCTCCTGCGCACCATCTTGTCCAACAGGCTCTTCTTGCTGAGGACCCTCTGCATTGGGTTCTTCCGAGAGGTTACTCGGGACATCATCTGCATCTACAAATATTGACTCGCTCTCTGAGTCATCAGTCTTGTGCATGTCCTTGTACATCACCTTCTCGTTGAATATCACATCTCTGCTCCGGATCACCTTCTTGTTTTCGTTGTCCCAAATGCGGTAGCCGAACTCATCTTCACCATAGCCGATGAAAGTGCATTTCTTTGACTTGGGATCAAGCTTATTCCTGTCTTGATCACTAATATGCATGTAAGCTACACAACCGAAAACTTTAAGATGTGAGAGTTTTACCTCCTTTCCGCACCATACCTCCTCTGGTATTCTGTGCTCCAATGGAACCGATGGACCTCGGTTGATCAAGTAAGCTGCTGTGTTGATCGCTTCTGCCCAGAACTGCTTTGGTAGGCCTCACTGTACTCGAATGCTTCTGGCTCTCTCTGTCAACGTTCGGTTCATCCGCTCAGCTACACCATTTTGCTGAGGCGTGCCGGACACGGTTCTCTCCATTCTGATCCCGTGCTCATAGCAGAACTTCTTGAATCCGGTGTCTTCATATTCACCGCCATTGTCGGTCCTGAGCTTCTTTATTCTCAGACTTGTCTCATTCTCGACCATAGCTTTCCATCTCCTGAAAGCCTCAAATACTTCTGGCTTATACTTCAGAAAGTAGACCCATACTTTCCGAGAGTGATCATCGATAAAAGTCACGAAGTAGTGTTTTCCACCAATGGACGCGGTGGTTGTTGGTCCCCACACATCTGAGTGAACGAGCTCTAGCTTCTGCTTCCTGGGGGTTCTGCCACTTGTCTGAAAGCTGACTCTCTTCTGCTTTCCAAGTATACATTCTTCACACATATCCATCTCCACTGACTGCAGTCCTGGGAGTTTTCCCTTTGTGTGCATGATTTTCATCCCCTTTTCACTCATATGACCGAGTCTCTGGTGCCACAGCTTTGAAGTTTCATTGCCTGCTACAACTGAGATCAAACAACGTGCACCTGCTGTCATATATAGGGTACCAGTCTTTTTGCCTCGGACAATTGTCATTGCGCCCTTTGAGATCTTCCAATCATCTCCATGGAAGGTCGTGGTATATCCTTCGCCAGCCAACTGGCCTACGGATATTAAATTCTTTCTCAGGTCGGGAATATGCCTGACATCCTTCAGCTCCCATACTGACCCGTTAAACTTAATTTTCACCACGCCTTTGCCCACAATGGCACATGGTTGATCATCACCAAGATATACGTATCCAAGATTTCCGGGGGTATACTTCTCGAAGAATTCTTTCTGAGAGGTAGCATGGAACGACGCTCCTGAATCTAACACCCAAGATTCCTCATTGCTCTCCAAAGAGCATATCAATGCGTCGTCTCCTCCTGAAGTGGAAGTGACATTCACCTCTGCCTTCGCCTCCTTCTCTTTCTGTGCACTCTTACACTGATTCTTGTAATGCCCGGTCTTTCCACAATTCCAACACTCGATAGCCTTCGAGCTGTTGCTTGGATTCCTTGATTTGGACCTCCTGTCCTTTGATCTACCTCTGAGGTTTGATTTTCCTCGTCCGTTTCCTCTGGTTGAATTTCTACCTCTTGACTCTGTATGCAATACTGAAGAGGTTGTAGCTTCACCAGTCTCTCGCCGTCGGATCTCCTCACTGAGAACCAAATCACGAACGTCGCCGAACTTCAACTTTTTCTTTCCCGATGAGCTACTCACTGCCGTGACTGTAGCGTTCCAACTCTCTGGTAGGGAAGACAAAAGTATCAACGCCCGGACTTCATCATCAAACTCAATCTCAACAGAACTCAATTGGGTTGTAACCGTATTAAGTTCATTGAGGTGTTGTGCTACTGACGCGCCTTCCGCCATTTTCAGATTGAATAACCGTCACATCAAATGAACTTTGTTCGCGACTGATGGCTTCTCACTCTCTGATACCAGTTGTTGGGAATTTAACGCTGAAACCCCTAATGCAACGGAAACGCAGAATAGAGAACAATACACAAGTTTTAACGAGGTTCGGCAACTGCCTACGTCCTCGGGAGCCACACAGATAATTTCTTATTAATCAAACAAGAAATTACAATTTAGGAGCAGATCTCAAAACTGAGATTTCTCAAATAAACACTGTAGCTACAGTGTTAATAATCAAAGGGTATGAACCCTTTCAATTCTCACTTGAGAATAAATACCCCACAATATAAACCCCACTTTAATTCCTCTCTCTCTTCTTAATCTCTCTTTTAATCTCCCCTCAAAATTCCCCTTTGAGAGCTGGAGAAAAATCGAAATCGCTACTGCGATTTGGGGAAAACGCTGCTGCGTTTTAGGGCAGTTCGCCGCCGCCGCCAGAGAGAAAGAATCGGAAGAAAAGGGGGGGAAGCTCAGCAACTTCAAAACCCTAGCCTGGGTTTTCTTTTATAGGCGGAGAGGAGAGCTGGCGACAGCCTGTCGCCAGCGGCTAAACCTGACGCAAAGGTCAGGTTCGAACGCAGAGCAAAGGGGGGGTTCGAACGCCGACTTTGAAGAGTGCGTTCGCCGAAGGTTGCGTTCGTCGACTTCGCCTGCGTCATCTCCGCCATTCTCGAGCTCGTCGGAGCTCGTCGGAGCTCCTCCGCCGTCGGAGGTTTGGTTTCCACCCCCAAATCTACAACTGGAACCTTTCTTGATGGAGGGCGATCTTATTGGCAAATATTTCTGTGTCCGTTTTTTTTCCTCCATAATGCTCAGACAAACATTGGATGTAATCGAGAATCAGAAAAGTGCGCTCAGACTCCTTGGCAGCCTCTTCGAATTTGCAGTCAGCAGCAAGCATCCTGACATACTGGTAAGAGAAGTCAAGATCGTTGGGGGCAAGTGTGGTGGCTTGATATGCTGAGTTGATGGCATCTTGTATTTTGCTTTTCCTATCCTCATGATCGTTGATAAGGGTAACGATATAGGACGTGAGCACTACACTGAAGGTGTAGTGGAAGATGGAAGAGGATTTGTACTGGTTGCGGACACAGTTAAGGATGTGGTGGGGCTTGATGGGGTTACCTTGATTTAAAATTTGCAAAGCCCGGTTGCAGAGGTTTTTTAACTCATGGTGAGGAGCGGGATGACCTGTGGTCGTGGAAACAAGGGAGGAAGAAGAGTAGTGTGCAGTGCTTAGTGTGTCACCTTGTCGGGGGATTTTTTGCGGCTGCGGTACAGAACCGAGTGCAGGCGATTTTTTGGGAGCAAGGCTGCGAGTGCACGGTGGATTTTGCGGCTGTCTTCAATTTGGCTGAGCAAGTACGAAGGCAGAGAGGAGATAGCGGCTGCAGTTGAGGAGATTTTGTGTAGTCTCTTTTAGGGTTTTGTGCATCCATTTGAGAGATTGTGTGAGGGTTTAGATTGAGTGATTGTAAACCCTACTTGTATTCTCCCCTCTAATAGTAGATCTCCCCCCTCCTTGCCCCGTGGACGTAGGCAATTTGTCGAACCACGTAAAAATTGGTTGTACTGTTTTTGTGTGATTTGTAATAGCTTTTAGGATCCCTCGACAGGTCAGTCCTAGAACTGATGAGAGGAAGAGCCAATATCTCACTTTGTTAAGATATCCGCTTCAGATTCTTGTCTCCTTGGTGAGACGGGAATTCTTATTGCGATCTGACTCTCTTGTTGTGCTGCCGAAGTGCTGCCGAAATTTCCGCTGCGCGCAACAGCTTCTTGAAACCTGTCGTTTCTAGGCTTCAAGATTCTTACTGTGGGTATGTGCGTGCACATAATAGTGGACTGATGCACATATGCGATGGAAGAAGGCAAAGGAATTGTGACTGTGTATCCTAATTTCATATTGATGGTGGTATAAACTAGGTTTATAAATTATTAATATTATTTCAACAACTTTGAATAATAGACTCAATGGATATTAGATTGCAACTATCGATGACCTAATGAACAAGTCAAGTATGTTCAAGTTTTGAGGACAAAACTTTTATCAAGGGATATAGTATGTAATAACCTCAAGTTTCAGTCTACAAAGAGTAATTTGGTGTTTATACAAACTACTAAATGTTGGTTGTGAACATTAGATTACAAGAGGGTTTAAACGGCTATAATGATAACAGCCATACTAATGTTTGTAATAGAGCTTTTCTTGAGGAGTTTAGTGTAAATAAGATCTCTTATATAGGATACCCTACCCCGTGTAAATTTTATCTTGCCGCCCCTATATTTATCTCTCTCGTTCTTTTCTCCACAGTGACAAAAAAAAAAACCTAGGGCGTTCCCCTTCATTGGGTCGGATCTCGGTGCTGCTTCTCAATGTGTTTTGAGACCGAAGGCTTATTAAGCTTGCAACTGTATAACAAAATCCATGACCTTTCAATACTTTTGTCTAATGATAGGTATAGTGAAGCACTTGTTTTCTTTTAGCTCCTATGGACCTTATATCATCTTATATGATAAAATTAACAAAGATGGTTGCATGCAGGTAACTTATAGAATATAGAATATTAGTTGTTTGAGTTTAGATAGAAGTTATAGGTTCTTATGTCTTTTTGTAGCGAGCAAAAACAGAAACTAATTTGCTAAATTTTATTAATAGATTACGATCTTTTAAGTAAATTTTATAATATAGTAGTAAGTTGAGATGCATATGTGGTTAATTAATTTTACTATTAGTTGGCATTTGGCAATTCTTTATAAAGCATTTGGTTATATGAACTTTGTTCATTTTTCTTAAAGCATATGCATCTCAAGTCATTGTACCGGTATATATTGGACGTAAGTAAGTCATTAAAATAGGGTTCAATATGCATTTATAAGGTTTTTATTTTAGCGCTAAGAGCCCAGTTTGGGTCTCACCGCCCTGACCACGTGCTATATAATAGTGGGGTTTGCTAAGTCAATCAGAGTATCGAAGTGTTGACTGCATTGAGACATGACATGCTTATTTCTATTGCATGAATATATTTTAAAGATATTACATTATGAATTTCCACTATTTTAATGCTTTGCTTATCAAGTCAAATTATTTTATGTTTGCGAAACCAGTGCTTAATGTATGAATTTATTCACTTATTGAGTTGTGATTCTTGTGAACTCATTGTATTATATTCATTCTTTTCAGAGACTTGGGATTAGGTGGAGTTGGTGGTTCCGAAATTATTAGGAGGGAGCGATGTATAAAATTTACATATTGCTTTTTTTCTTCTAGGTGAAGGTTGAATAAAGTCTTTGATATTTAGTTGATAATTTGAGAGTTTTGTAATAATGAGATTCTTCCCTTTAAGTCGAGTTTTATTTCAATTTGAGGAATATTTGTTTATATATATCTCAAGTTAAATGGATTTATGTTGACTTTTGGATTAATATAGAGAATATTTATTGTTGGTTTTAGTTCAATGAATAGATTATTTTTTGATGGTCTTTTAATGAATGTAGATTTTTTGAGGACTTTTTATAGGTTTAGTCCGGCTCTAGTATTCCTTTTAGGTTTGTAAATTGGATCGTGATAGTGACAACAGTAGGTTGCTCTGCAGCAAGGGATCGGCCTTGGTGAAACTATTGTTGGATTTGGGTGTGGATCCAAACCTCCACAAGAGAGCTCGAGGCAAGATCAGGCGAGCTCGATGAGCTTTAGGCGAGGTCCATGCGAAGCTGCAGGCGAGGCGAGCTCCTGCAGACGAGGTCGAGCGGGGTTGCGGGGGAGCTCAAGGCGGGCGAGCTCCAGGCAGGCGAGTGCAGGTGAGATCCGTGCAGGAAAGCTCGCAGAAGATGACAAATGACAGCATGTTACAGGCTGTCGTCTTGCCCTAGGGTTCCCTTATAAAAGGGAACCCTGTTCACGAGAAGAAAATGAGCTTCTTCTTGTGATTTTTCTCCCAGCTGGGCGGTGACGTTCTCTCTCTCTCTCTGCTCTTCCCTTTTTCTCCCCAGCACTCAAGGATTAAAGAGGGGGGTGGAATTTAACAAGAGGGGTTTTGAGAGGGGAATTAAAGAGGAATCTTCACTGTAGCTAAAGTGAAGATTTGTATTTATTGAGTGATCTCAAGTTTGAGATCTGCTTTTGCATTGTAATTTCTTTGATTAATAAGAAATTAATTGTGTGGCTCTCGAGAACGTAGGCAAGTTTGCCGAACCTCGTTAAATCTTGGTGTACTTTCTCTACTGTGTTTTCTTGTTGTTTTAGGGGTTTAGCGTAGCCCCTGGTATTTCCCAAACAACTATTCAGGCTGAGTAATGGTAGGGCCCTCTCTTAGGTATCCATCACCTCTCTGGACACTGGGGAATCATTCAGCTCCTGATATTGACGCTGCTCTAGGCCTTCCAGTCAAAAAACAACGTCGATGACTGTCGAAATCTCGATAGTTAGCTCTAGGTCTTCTAGTCAAAAAACAACGTCGATGAAGACTCGTCGTAGTTAGGCCAACAATTGTATATTAATTGACAGTGTCATTGATGGGGTTGATAACAGCAAGAACACGCTCACACTCATCGACGCCCTCTTTGTATCTTTGATAGTATGAAACAAGGAGCTTTACATAAAAGAAAGAAAGAGCAGTAATGTTGAAGGGGGAGAGTTGGGTGGCTATTTTCGCAGAGCAGAGTGCTTCTGGAACAAAGAGATCTTCTTCCAAGAACTCAGATTTGAATAACCAGATGACAGAACTGACATGGGAGAAGGGTGAGGTTGGAAGAGAAATTGTTATATCGGCAGCGAGCATCCTCCATCAAAGAATCGGCCATCTCGAGAGAACTGAGCAACGGCAGAGCTTGCTTGTATATGGACCTCAGCCCCTCATCGATCTGTTGAGGAGGAAGGGGGAGGGGCTGCCATCAAAATGTGGGAGGAGGAAGGGTTTGGTCTTTCAAGATTTTTTGCTTACAGTTTGCTGTACAAGGAGGCGGACGGTTATTTGTTTTCTCAGTTCTCGGTCGATTGAGCATTAATTGTGTTTGGTAAACACTTGGTTAAGAAGATAGAGGAAGGCGCTGAACCGGACTATAGATCTGGTTCATGACGGTTATAACGAACGGTTCAGCTTAATGTTCAAGTGAACAGGGCCAATAGTTGACAACTAATTTTTTCGGGTTTTGTTTTAGGGTTTTAATCATGTTGGGATCCCATTTATTTGTTTATTCTATATTAAACCCCCAATCTTCATATATCTAAGTTAGAGCCCAGTCCATTAAGTTGTTTCTGTTGGATATTTTTAAAGAAAAGGCAATTTTGCCTTAATAAATTCTAATAAATTTTTGTAATTAAAATATGCAATTAAAATATGTTTTAATGCGTTTTAATTTGTAATTAAAATGGGCATAATGACTATACATTATGACGAACGTTACGAAATTTATTGAGAGATTTTGTAACGGCTCTTTTCAACCCCTATATAAACAACATATGTTGAGCTCAAGAAAAATGAAGAAAAATGTGGAAAACTTATCTTGTTTTCTTTTCTCCTCTACATATCATTTTCATCTATACTTTAGTTTTACTTTATGGGCAACTTCTTCATCTGAGCTGAAGCTCTGCACTCTCGCCCGAGTGCAGAGGCCGGGCCGTTTCCGGGGGTTTTTACCGCTAGGGGAGAAGGGATCATCTGCGCCAGGGCGATAGGCGGGTCCTCAATCTTCTAGGGCAGTGTTTACACGACTGCTCCCGTTCAGGCCAGTTTTAATTGTTTAATTTTTCGGATTTATCTGAATGCTATAATCTTAATTATTTGATAAATTTCCAACAATCTAGAAGATTGATAAGTTTATAGCTTTGATTTAAACCTGAAATTATTTTAAAGTTACTGTTCATTCGAGATGGTTACTGTTCATCCGAATTTTAAAAAAAATATTGCTACTAAATTGCTTATCTATTAATTAACTTTTTGTTAAAATAAAAAAAAAGTTTTTGTTACTGTTAAAAAAAAAACAGAGGAATTTTATAGTTGTTGTTAACACAAAGAAAATATAATTGCTTTAACTATATATTTGGTTATCTATTAAATAGCTATTAGAAAATAAAAGGTACTGTTCACCAGAACCTTATTTTACAATTCATTTGGAAAAAAATACAATTAAAAA